TCATGGTATGGAACTAGTGATGATTGGGCCGGTTTCCAATGGGAACCAGGATTGGCCAAGTTCTTATGCATCTAGCATTTTTCATGAGAACAAGGGGATTTGGACTAAGATGAATCGTCCAGTTCCCAGTTCCCAGTTTTTTGTTTTTTTATGAACTTTTTATTTTTTCGTTTTTTTATGTGCAATCAGCGAACCTTATGCATAGAGTAAACTATATTTGTATTGCCTTGCGGCCCAATAAACTCTTACACCTCTCCAGTGTGAGGCTAAAACTTATAAGCTAGACACATGAAGTGGTAGAGCGAACCACTTATATATTATCCTGGTTTTTGGTAATCTCTAACACCTCCCTGATATAGTACTAAAACTTGTTAGTAACATATATACAAACGCTTTGGCATTCATTTGTAAGCAATTTTGCTAGCTATTATATAAGCTACCCATGACTATAGTATAAAGCTTTAAGAGACTTATATAAAGCTATATCATAAAAAGTGTTTGTATATAGCTTATAATATTTATTGAAAGATTTCCTCTTCCTGTCGGTCAAATTCTCGCCCAAAAACGAAATGGTAGGAGAGATCTTCATAATTTACACAAAATTAGGGCTTGCTGTGCATATGAAAAACCCTTCGTTCCTTGTGGCAACTCCATGAAACACTTCATAGTAGCACTGGTGATAATTGGTAACATTTTCTGTTTCTTTTCCAGTTTAATAGTGACACTACTTATCCCTTAGGTGCTGCATTAGTTGTACAAATTGGTTTAGATGATCGAGGATTCGAAATTCTGAAATTTGTCCGAGAAACCCAAACAAGCTAGCATATCTATGTGTTTTTCTTTTCCTTTTTTTTTTTTTCTTTCCAGTTGGAAGATGATTTAGCTCTTATGCCCTAGATACTCATGAAAGAAAGAGTGCTTGTATTTTGAAGAGAGTGATAGATTTCGAGAAAACAAAGATGAAAGAGAGAGTCAAACGGAAGTAGAATGTATGGCCAATGCTTATAAACAAGAATAAAACCGTAAAAGCGTCTATATACAATATATATTTAGTATAGACCAAACTATCCCTACACAAATATACAACGACAATAAATGACAAATGAAATATATACTAAAATAAAATTTTATTCATTATTACCACTCCTCAAGCTGATGCGGAGATGAGGAAAGCACTAACTTATCAACAAAAAAATCATGGCGTTTTTGAGTAATTGATTTAGTCAAAATATCAGCCGTTTGAGCAGTAGAAGAAACATTAGGGAGAGATAATGTGACATCAAAGTAGCGGCCACGAACATAATGGCAACCTACATTAATATGCTTTGTCCTCTCATGAAAGACTAGATTAGATACAATTTTAATCGTACTTTGGTTATCTCTATATAAAGGTATAGGATCTGAAATAGTGATACCGAAGTCACCGAGAAAAGCACAAACCCAAATAATTTCGCTGGCAATAGCGGACATAGCACGATACTCAACTTTAGTACTTGACTTGGAGACAATATCTTGTTTTTTGTTCTTCCATGATATTAAAGAGGATCTAAGAAGTACACAATATCCAATAGGAGAGTGGCAAGTGTCTAGATCACTTGTCCAATCTGCATCAGTATATGCACTAAGATTTAAAGAGGACGTGGAGGCAAACAATAACTTACGATTGAAAGTGCCTTGAATATAGCATAAGATTAAGTCAACCGTTGATAGATATGGTTGTCGAGGATCTGGAACAAATTGGCTCACAACATGGACTACATATGCATTATCTGAGCATGTCATAGTAAAATAGATGAGGGAGCCTACGAGTTTGTGATACATTATAGGCCGAGGAAGAAGATCTCCAATATGCACAAAAAATTTAACATTGAGCTCCATAGGTGTATCCACAACCTTCATGTCAGTCAAACGGGCACTAGAAGTAAGATCAACTGCATACTTCTATTGATGGATATAAATACTACGTTTAGAACAAGTGATTTTAAGGCCAAGGAAGTAAGATACTTCCCCAAGATCCTTTATTTGAAATTCTTTTCGCAATCGTAGCTTCACATCATTGATAGAAGTAAAATCATATCCAGAAATGAGACTATTATCAACATATAGAAAGATAATACAAATGACATGCTTTGTGGTATGAATAAACATGGAGCGATCATGTTTACTTTGAATGAAACCAGTTACAAGAATGACATTCGTAAAATACTCAAACCATCACGAGGAGTTGGTTTAAGAATATAAATGGCATTAGGAAGTCGGCAGACCATTGATGCATTTAGAGTAGCAAACCCAGGTGGGTGGCACAGATAAACTTTATCTTGAACTTCTCCATTAAGAAAAAGCATTTTTGACATCCATCTGCTACATAGGCCAGTCACGAATTGAAGCTAATGCAAAAAGAGTACGAATTGTGGTCATCTTAGCAACATGAACAAAAGTTTATTCATAATCAATGTCATATTCTTCGGCATAACCTTGTGCAACTAACTGTGCTTTGTGCCGGTCAAGGATGCCATCAGCCCATAACTTAACCTTATAAATTCATTTACTACCAATAGCATATTTGTTAGGGGCTAGTGAAACTAAATCCCAAGTGTAGTTCGCCTCTAAAGCTGCAATTTCCTCATTCATAGCCATATGCCAATATTGAGGTTTAGATGCACAAGAATAAGATGGATCATGAAAGAAAGGGTGTTGGAGGAAGCAACTAAAGGGCTTACGTAATGTTGCAAAAAAAATGGATGAAAGTAAATCAAAAGAAAAAAACGAAAGAGTCGAGAGAAAAAACGGATAAAGAAAAACAAGAGCAAAAGAACAAAAAAATGATGAACTTTCTCCCTCTAGAGTTGAAACAAATAGATATCTCTCTTTACTGTCAAGTTTGAGAAAATAACACCAAAAATCCATTAACTGATCTTCACAAAAGAATATGATAATCTATGATCAGCAATGAATGAACTAATGAATAACTTGCATGAGCAGTAGCAAGCAAAGAAATAATCTGATATTTAATGCTCTAATACCATGATGGATTTCGAGAAAACAAAGATGAAAGAGAGAGAGACATAAAGAAAAATAGAATATGTGGCCAATTCTCATAAATAGTAATGAAACCCTAAAAGGTTTTATATACAATATATATTTAGTGTAGACCAAACTATCCCTACACAAATATACAACGATAATAAAGAACAAATGAAATATATACAAAAATTCTATTTTATTTATTATTAGAGAGTAAGCTTGCATTTCGAAGATAGTGTGTATTGTGCGCAAAACCTCTAAACCTAACGGGTCGATTTTTGGTAAATAACGTGCAAGACACAATACATGAAACACATACCATAAGAATACAAAGATTTACGTGGTTCACCCCAAGAAGGGCTACAGGCAAAGCAAACTGAAATCCACTATACCAATGAAAGTTATATTAAAGATTTTGGAAAATAGAGTTACCTCTATAACCCTCAACAAAACCCAGTCGAGTAAACCCTTTTAAACTACTCGTCATTCATTCTCTTTACATCTGACAATCATTACCAACAATACCAAATAGAGATGTGAGAGCAAGGTGAAACTGAGTTTTTCTCTAACTAAAAGGGGAAACAACCTAAAATCTCAATGAGAATTGTTTCTCTACAAGAAACAAGCCTCTCAATCTTCGTGAGGTACAATCACAATGTTTCTCTCTATAGGAAGCTCGCTTCTCTTAAAAGAAATTGTATCTTATGCACAGGAGGCTCTGCGTCCCTCTCTATAGAGGAACCACCATTCTCATATATATATAT